GTATCTTATTTTTTTTTGTGCTTTTGAAGGTAGTGGCCTACTGTCTGGGGACGATCATGGGAACATGCACTTGTTCTTCAGGAGGAGTAGTGCAAATGCACTGGAAGACACCAGGATTTCACTGCTTTATTTTCCTTGTTGCAAAGTGAGACAGTTAAGGAGGAATATACATCCCCAACCCGCAGGTCAGCTGGGAAACAGCGAGAGGGGATTTAGGGCTAGAAGAGCGTACCAGCTGGCAGGCCGGCTGGGAAGGAAGCACTAACATCTAGTCCCGCGGATATGCTGCTCTGTCAGGAAAGCTCTAGGGGCGTGTTCACATGGTTGTGGGCAAACTGAAGCGTCAGGTGGCTCTGGTGCAAAACCAATGTATGCACTCACCGTATGCGTCATACACAGATAGTCCCTACGTTACTTGTGTGCTGGGCATGCAGCTGCTTCTTGGCTAAAAAGCTGATTATCAATAACCTCCTGCTCTTTTGTTTCTATCATTTGGGGAAGTGTGATTACACACACACACACACACACACTTACTTTTTCAGTAGGATTGCAAAGATCCTTGGTTTCCTCATCATCAGTGGCAGCCCCTCAGGGAAACACCCCAACTAACTCAGTACTCAAAGTGGAACATGCAGTGAAACGCATCACTTATTGCAGAAATTTAAATTAAATTTTTTGTCAGATGAAAATGCTGAAATGAGCACTGTGAAGCTGCAATCTTACAGAAGCTGCTTCCTACTGCTGTCAGTAGGAAGATATCTATCCTGTACATTTCCTTCTATACTCATGTGAAATATTTTGTAAAGGAAATACTTTGTTCCTGTTCTGCTTCACAAACCTTCACAAAGTTCAAGTTTATTAGAGGTGATGAAAATGCAACTTTTCTCAATACTGAACATCCTTCATTAATGGGAAGGTGAATCTAATCTCATCAGGCTATAATTTATAAGAGGAAGTTGCAGGATGCTAATGATTTTTTTTTTTCCAGAATAAAAGCTAATTAAATCTTTTGAGTAATAATATGAAAACAAATGAACCATCTTAATGCATATAAACAATAATGTGGTTTGGCTGTTTCGTTTCTAGGCATCCTATTTGCTTTTAAGTAACATCTGCACGCACATAGGAAGTTGTTAGAGCAGGTATATATCTCTTAACAAGTTGGTGAGCTCCACCTAATTTTTGCTGCATAGATTAATATTTTCCTAACCTAATGATTAAGCAGCTGGTTTTTTACTTTAGAACTGTCTGCTGTTCAAACAATTGCAACTGTGAAGCTGAGATCAGAGCACAGCCACTTTTAACCTCCTTTGTTACTGAACGTGATCCTTACCCTGAAAGGCCACAATGAATCTCTGAAGTATTAAGAAAGCATTCACAATCTTGAAAATTATTTTGCCCTTTTCAGTGGAAACAGAGAAGCCAAAAGGCAGACAGATATCGGTGTGCTCTGGATATTGTTTTTCTGGATATTGTTCATCAGCTGTGTAGGAACATAAGAAAGCACCACACTATCCCAATGGTAACATTCTTATCACCCTGTATTATAAAAAACCTGCAAGCAAATTTACAATTACTAGCGGCTATTTTATAGCACTTAAGAGAAGACCAGCTAGTTCCAGGAAATAAAACCACGTGTCATTCCTACAGATCTACTAATTTCCTTCTCTGGAAGAACTGGGCAAAATGCAAAGTATAAACTCTTGCATTCTTGCCTACTGCAAGAATCTGTTAGTCATTACAGAGTGGGATCTTAAATTATTCAGAATTTCTGTATGTGTTTTGTTTTTCTGTGCTTACAGAAGAATATACCGGTTTGGGGAACAAGCAGTACTTTTTCATGTTACTTTGAGGATGAAATTAAAATAATGAATATTTACTCTAAATTCTGTATATTCTAAATGCTAAAGCGGAGCTTACAGAAGAACAGCTGAACCTAATTTAAATGTGTCAATAGCCATGTAATATCCTCCTCCTCCTCCTCAGTTAATTAATACTAATTCAAAAGACTGAATTATCAGCCTAGAGAAAGGGCACCTATCTTTGGAACTGTTTATAATTCATCAAGTCTTCAAAACTGAATAAGAAAATAATAAATGTAGGATTAATTGAATAATTAACAGCAGCTGCCACATTCTGTCTCCCTCCTTTCTGATCTAGAAGATGGACTTGTTTGGAATATAGAGCTGTAGCACACCAGTGGAACAAAGTTGTTTTGTGCTCTGTTTGCCTGCAAGATGTGAAGTAGATAGAAACACCCTTTGCAAAAACACCTTGCCTGGAATTGCAATTGCTTATTAAGTATTAGCAATCTTGTGCTTGTCAGCTAAGATACAATTTATAAAGAAAAGATGGATTTGCTAAAGGTTTCAGAACACCGAACTCTAGACCGACAAGAAAATGGAGCACCTATCCATCATGTTGCTGTATCCTCTTTTTCCATAAAAACATAAAAGCATCAAGAAGGAACACTTGAGAACTGGACATTGTAGGGCAGTACCTTTAAATAAAAGGTCTTGAATTCAAATTTACCTCCTCTTTCCTCTTCAGATACACAGAAGAGCTGAAAACATATGGAAAATGACCTCCTACGTGCTAGTGTTCAAAACTTTCCATCTCTGTTGGAAAGAATCATCTGACAAATTCGACTGTTCCCATCAACCTGTCACTATGGAGCACATCAAGTATTTTTCCCAGGATCTAGCTAATTCAGGGGTTGTTTTTCACGTGAGCAGATAAAGAATTGTATAACTTGGAATCTGACCAGTATCGGTATCAATATCCTTGAAGGAGCTCCCCTCCTCCAAGGGACTAGAGAATTTTAGCTATTAATTCTAAGTTTGCAAATGTAATAACAGTTATATGCCAATCTCCCCCATTAATTTCCTCAGGAAAGGCTAAACTAGTAGTCTCAGTTGCTGGAGTAAAGCCTTAGAACAATATTAAGTTACAGATGGGAACTGAGGTACCTGGATTAACCCTTCTGTCTCATCTCACAAAGGAACTCTTTCCAAAGAAATCAATAAAATATTCTCCCTCTTCTTGTAACACTTCCCACATCTGACTTCAGTCAATTTTTCCTTTTCAGGATATGTAATAACTTCTTCCAAATGCACCACACTAAGTCAGTAAATTGACATCGTTACAAAGAGTAAAAGCTAAAAACAGAAGAATTTTTAACATTAGTTCTGAATACCAAGACTGTTGCCTTTTCCCTCCTGACAAACATATGAATAGAAATTTCCCAATTATGTGTATATAAGGAAGAAAAGTAAAAAAACCCACATCTTTTGTGCTTAAATTTCAGAGACAGTATGAATGTTTAGATATTTTAAAAGAGCCTACAGATGTTCTAGCAAGAAGAGGAGAAAAGGCTAAGTTTGGCTTATTGCCAGCCAAAACGGGACCAAGCAAGTGAAATTATGTCAAAATTTGCATTTACCTGCTACCTTACACCATTTCTTTTCCCCAGGTGGAAAGAGTTTTCAAAACCAGAAGCACCTGGAAGACATGATTCTACTTTACAGATTTTCCGACAGGCTCAAACGTGACTACGTGGCTTTGGATGGTGGAGGCTTCTGCTCTGCAACGTCGGGCTTGGCTCACTGCCTGGGAACCGGGCAGCACGCCTGCAGGTGCCTTGGGCTTCTTCCCAGCTGCAGCCCAGGGCGATGTTCAAGAGGGTGCTCATGGCTGGAGTGCAGCCAAATGCCTCATTTTCCCAGAAGTTTCCCCTTCTCTGTGAAGAGTTTTCACTGGTAACAGCCCCCAGTGATGACTGATATGCAAAGGCAAATAGGATCTAATGCACCATCACTGGAAGAGTAGTCAGGGAAGCAGTGTGAGGTATCTGTGAAATACACTCATCCAATGGTTAAAAAAGGCAGTGAGTCACAATGAAAGCAGGGCTAAGGAGCATGTCTAAGTTTCAGATACAAAAACTTCACCTGGCATACTCAGATTTTACTGCTAGCTTGAAAGAACGTGAAGTATAACTGCAAGTATCCCACACCAGAAAATTTTAAATATTCTAAATTCTATTTTTCAGTGAAAGCTGTTATCAGCGCAATATAAACAACTGCTCACAATGTCAAAGCATAATGAACAAATGTTGTACCCATTTAATTCAAGTTTGTATTTTATGTTTATTTGCACAATATAAATCATTAAACAAACATTCTATTTCAGTTTCCACTGCAGACTTTTATGTACTATTTTCAGTTGCTTTGGCTTGTCTGTTACTGGTACCATCTCAATACCAGCCTTACTCTCTCGTGTTCGTCCTTCACACACCAGCATGGATTATACCTTAGTGTCATATGTGTAGCTATCATAACCAAATCAGAACAAGTAGCATATTTTGTACAGAATATTTAATGCAAATGGAAGCTTGAGGACTTTTAACAACCTTGCTGGGGTGTGAAATGGTGTGCCCTTTCAAAAAAACATTACAGTTACTATCTTCTGGACGAATAGTGAAACAATGAGTTCTGTATGTAGATATCACCACCAGGTACTGACTATAAGATCACTTTTTTCTAGAAAACACCAAATAAATACAAGCAGTATATGCAACATAAGCTGTTGTCAGCTACCTATTCTAAATCATACCTGTGAAAATACAAATGGGCACGTTGTGAATATTTTAAAGAGTAAAGTGCTTTTCACATCGAGCAAGTGACTGCATCTAGTGTCGTACCACAGGCAAATATATATCCATTTTGGAAAAAACAGCCTCCATGCAATTAGTCAGTAGCAATCCCCTGCATTCATTTACAATATTAAACTAGTAAATATTACTTCAGTCATACAGGGTTTAAAGTCAGGATACAGTGTGTACACTTAGAGAACTCAACCAATGCTCTACATTAGCATACATTTTGAGCATTGCTACAGCAAGGTGGTTTTTTGGGGTTTTTTTTACCTTTTAAGAAGCCAAACCTTTGGTAGTGTAAATGCAGCGTACACCGAAGATACCACTGAACCAATATGAGAGCTCATTACGCAGCTGACAGGAATGGGAAGAAGAAAAAATCAAAAGCGAATTTAATGGCTTTATGCACTGTGCTCCTCCAGTCATGCTCTATTTTCACATGCCTCCCTGCAGGTAAGAGTTTAGACATGCAATTCAAGCAAGTGATTGCTTTCAGTTCAAAGACAGGCCATTTACTGCCAAGACGACCCTCCAGAATTGTGCTGAATTCAATTATACTTCCTTGCCTCAAGTTCAACAACACTTTTTTAAACTCATTGCTTGCCTTCAGCACAATATCTTTGGTTATATCATCCTCCTCTATAAACTTGGTTCCATTTTTGCTACTGAAAGGCATGCCCACAGTTATTTCAAATTTGTACCGATCAAACATTTTCATGTGGCAGTTATGCTTTGTCAAATACTTGAGACGACACAATTCTTCCTCCTCCAGCGTAACATTTTTGGGGTCACAAAGAGGGTAGGTTTCACCATACAAGCATCTCATCCAATCGCCAATAAAAAGTGGAAGCATATTTATTGCAGATTCTGCACTATTGTCGATTTCTGTCACGCGCACATATTTGAACCGCCCAGTCCATGTCACTCTGTGTCCTTCCAGGTGACTACATAAAATCTGAGTACGTGCCATGTTAGTGTCCTTCCACGACCGGGGTCCACAGAGGAAAGCATACTGATTCCAAGTCAAGGTTGAATTGTAAACTTTCATTCCCTCTGATCGATACACATAGAACCAACAGAACAATACTACAGCTGTAATCCACACCAGAATGAGTTTCACAATCGAGCTTCGAGTGAGGGACTTAACCATTTCAACTACAGAGAAGTTAACTTTCGTCCACCATCGGAAGCGCAATGGAACAGTACACAAAACCAGAGTCACTACAATTTTCATGAGCTCCAGAGACACAAACCACTTAATGAAATGGATAAGACACATCAGTGCAATGCCTACCCCTAGCACTGGGAGTGCAAAGAGAAACAGAAAGTAACCGATTGATGCACGAACGAGCCCAATGCCAGAGGACTCCCGCAGAATGACCACAGAGAGTTCGCACCACATAAAGCAGACCAGATATGGGACCAGGTAGCAGTAGGTGCCTTTAAAATTCCGTAGTTGTGCCATTCTAAAGAAAAGATAGAACAAGTACAAAAACAGAAGGCATGGGATGCTGACATTTATCACAAAGAAATGGCCTACTGGAACAGTAAAGAAGGTTTTACCTACGAATTTCAAGTAGCCAAAATTCCCAGGTAATACCTGCAGCAGGGATAAGCAACCTGCTGCTATCTCAGTCATTAACGCTCTTCGTGTGTAAGGTTCTGCACACGTGCTTAAACTCATGTAACTTGTCACTGTGAAGAAAACCGAGATGGTAGCTAACTCTGAGCATGGTATACAGTCTTTGCTTGCTATAGGGAAGGAAAAAATGACAAAGAATACTGAGAGTAAAAAATAAATGTATGGCTCTAAGTGATTCCATCCAAAATTCACCTCAGCTTGCTCAACATCTAGGTTTGGTTCAAAACGAAGCAGTAAGTCAGTCAAAGCACGGAAGTTTTCCCAAGCCTTACTGTCCTGAAAAACTTTCAGTGTGCAAATCACCATAGAAATGAAGGACAAATAGAATATGACTAATGGAATAATGAAGGCAAAAAAATCAATTGTCAGGTTACTGATGATGAAGAAAAAGATGAGAGCATTGATATGGTGTGTTGGAACAATGGTAGACAGCCAATGCATTCCTCCAATGCATGCCTGCCTTTGACGCAATATCTATAAGGTATTCTTTAATTTCCATAATGGCATGAAGCGGATATTTTACAACCTGGAAAGAGAGAAAGAAGCATTTTATTTATGAGCAGTTTTGTATCTTTACATCACAGATATTCTTAGCTGAAGCAGTAGCAGTCAGTTGTCTAACCTCCGCTGACGTGAAAAGATTTATAATTCAGACGAATGTTGCCAATAAGATGAGATTACTTTGTCTGAGATTATTAGCTCTATTTTGATTAATTCAGTCAGATGAAGCTCAGAGGCGATTCTGATTTCAGGAAAGATGTATTTCATTACCTTTGACACATATAATTAAATGGCTTCCTAGTCAAATATTCTGCTCTGCTAACTTCATACTGAAGATGAACTACATGGCTGCAGTCCTGTACTATCTTAAGTCGCTACTTGAGCTGCAAGTACTGTAGCTTTAAAGCACTTAACTCTGCCACTGTTCTGCAAGGATTATGCTATACATTCTGATATGCATATACACTACAGGAAGCAGTGCATATGATTCATATGCACCTACAGGAAGTCTTTTCAGCTGTGGTTTATCTTTAAAACAATTCTTCCCAAACATCTAGGGATGCAGCTGTCAAAATGTGGTTTGTAAGCAGCAGAAATATAACTATAATTACTACGAGTTTAGGGATTCTTTTAACTCCAGAAAAATAATTGTACTGGATCTTAAAATTCTACCTATCTTACGTGGCATTTTCCAACAGTCACCAGACAACAAAGGAACCGCTGGATCGAATCCTCTCCCTGTGACCAACCACACACTTTACACAGGATCAATAAAAAGTACAGGATTTTTCAAACACATATTCAGATGTTGCATCTGCACATTAGATGCTGTGAACAATCCTCCTTCCCCCATAAAAAGATAGTTTTTATGTTTTCCCAGAACTTATGCTTTTATATTAATTAGTTCAAGGGAAAGGCCAAGAATGCTTCAGCAAAGATCTACACTTTGTGATGAACTGGGGCAACACACACAATGACTTGGGCATAAGCTTGTTTATTAGCAAAGGTGTCCCTGTTCTTCATACATGCATCTCTTTCAGAATCATAGAATCATAGAATAGAATCATAGAACATTAGTTATTCAAAAGATTGGAAAGACATACCCCCCCCTTTTTTTTTCACCTCTACCACATGATAATGGACAACAAAATAACAATTAAAACAAAAACTCTCATGTCTGCAGCTTGAAACCCCCTACCTTGCTTGAAATCTATACCTGTATTGAATGCATGCACCTTAAATCGGTATAGAAAACCACTAACAGCAGATTCCACTATTCTTGAATTCCTTCATAACAGAACCTTTTCACACCTTAAGGCTATGGATAATTTTTCCCACCTGCTTGCTCCTGTTTAAATAAGAAAGATATGAAGCATATAATAACATCTATAATAAAAATACACCAGTTGTGATAGGGACATTTAAATCCTCACTGAGATGTAATGAAGGTAGATCGCCCTCTTCCAGGGAAAACCATTATCCCTTTCTCTTAAATATGTGACTCATATATATGAAACTGTAAAACATACATATGAAGTCAAGTCCAAAAAGAAATTATAGCAACAATTCTTGTACTGACCTATGCAGACTAAATGTCAGCTTTGAGATTCAAGTGTAAGTCGCCTCTGCCTTGTCTGAAATGTGTAAGTTAAAAGCCCTTCAACATAACCTGTTCATTATTGCCTTTTTACCTTCAGTCGCAAAGGTAACTCTTCAGGAGTCTTCCCTGCCAATTCATCATCTTCTTCAGGCATAATCAGGTTAGATGGGATGATTCCCTTTGCATACTTCTTGGTAATTTCAACGAAGTCATCCAAAGCAATAAATTTTTTAGCTAAAAGATAAAATTAAGACTTTGAGTAAACAGTATCACTACAACACTGTACTGATTATGTGTTGGAATATTAGTTTTCTTTCCTGGTATTAAAGAAGATCTACTCTGGGCTTCAAAAACTGAACCACCCATAACACAGGCTTACCTTGTAACTTGTTCTGAGATCCATGCTGAAAACAGCAAGCTGCTTCTGCCAGCAATATATGACTACTCTAAATCTTGTCAGAGCAGCAGGTAAGTTTATTATACTGGTAAGTAGGAGAACAGAGTGAGTGAATGTAGCTTATCTGCAAGTATTCCAAGGAAAAAAGACTACTAGATTAGGTCACACAGTTTTAAATCATAGGCTATTATATCTTTGGTAACTTCTTGAGAGAAGTCTTTAACTAGCAGCCACAGTGAAAAGAAAGAATTGTACAGGAACAGTAATGAACTATCTGTACGTTATTAAATGAAAAACTGACTTCTGATTTGGCATTTAACAGTCATTTTTCTGAATTCAGCAGTTACAGACATATAATTATGGGGAAATGCCCAATTATTTGTATCTACAAGACTAAATATAGATTAGTTACAGTGTATTTAATTTATATTAATTAATTTAATATGATATGTGACTATACAAATGGCCTCCCCCAAACTGTATCAACTGTGATCTAAAACAGATAGCCAGCAACAAAATATACTTTGCTCAGTTGTACAGAGACAGAATTTATCACTCTGCCCTTATCCACTCCTGTGAGTAGAAGGGAGGCAAGAGGTTACTTCTAAAAACTCTAGGGATGCTGCAAGACAGAAGGTGATTTATACACTGCTTCAAACTCTTTTCACAGCCAGTTCCTTACATTAGCATGGATTAGCTAGTTTCTATGGCAGACAAGCTTGATGTCGTTTGTAAAGGAGGATAATTAACAGCAACTTTTTTCCATATACTAAAGCAAATGACATTGCTGTAGATATGAAAGACTTTTGAATGACAAAAATCTGTAACACACCTCCTACACAGTAAGCTTTGCTAGTCAGCTGATACAAAGATATGAAAGCTGGCCTGCTTAATACTAGTTTAAGATTTTAAAGAGACAGAAAACTGTACTGCTTCACTAAGTTTAAAATCAGAGGATTAGTGGGTTTGAGCCTATTAATTTTTTAATTTTACAAAACCGCTACATTTATAGAAGTTATAAATATATCAGAATTTAATATTGAAAACACTGTAGATACAGAACAAAATAAATATTTGCGTCAAGATACCTGCTACAGGAAGAGGAGTGTTAAAAGAGCTCAATAGAAAAACAGCAGCTTGCAATCTATCTTTTGCTTTAATCTCACAATATGGATGTTGCCTTTTGCTTGCACTTTTACTTTTTTAATTTGCTTTTCTTCATTGCATGAACCCATTATGTCCCACAAAATACCACCTGGCATGCCTCCCAAGAAACAAGAAAGGATTTATTTTTGCTAACTATTCTTATCATTCACAGACTTGTAAGGAGACATCACTTGCACAAAGAAATCAGTGAGGCTCCTTGGCTGTCTTTGGTGGGGTTCACATCAAGCCTAATACCAAATGTGTCATCTAAAGTTATTGTCCTATTGGGACAAAATATACAGTGGTAAGATAGTCTTTTTGGTGTGGAATCAGCAAGCGGACATGGTTAGAGCTTCACAAAAATTCCTTAACAGCACTTTCACAGGACCACGGGACATCCTGAGAGGGAAGGAGTTATTAACTTACTATGTATAGATGGCCTATCAAATGTAATGACACATACACTCTTCAGGCACGTAACAACTGTCCACTGACAATGTCAGCTCTAAGCTTCTGTTTATACCTCCATTAAGATACCCCAGATCACATATCTGAAAACACATATCTAGCTTAAAAATTATCTTCCAAGTATTGTCAATGTATTAAAACTGAAGGAAGAATCGCCTGCTGGCAAGATAAATGGAGAAACTCAGTGGATCAGAGAAGTAAATGCTGGAGAGTAACAGCTGTCTTATTCATCCATGAAAAGATAAAAGCTCTCTAGAGAAGAGGTAACAGCTTAACTCCTACTTTAAGCATTTGATGAAAACTTTTAGCTTTTAAATGTTATTAGTATTTTGTCACCCAAGCGTCTCTTAAATTGATATAAAAAGCGTATGTTGTAGATTCTACTGTATTATTCATAGATTTTTTTCTTCAATTTGGTTATGACAAATTCCCCTGCCACCCCCATCTGCCGTAGAAAAAGAAAAATATGCACATCTATTTCTGCCTACGCTTACATGTAGGTTCATTTACTCTCCTGTTATTTTACCTGCCATTTAAGCCTTCAAAAAAAAAAAAAAAAAAAAGAAAAAATTGCCAGTTCCTTTTCTGACACTCCTTGAATTACTGAAGAATCCAGAGCAAAATGACTTGCTTTGCATGCACGCTCTATCAGCATGTGCCAGCTCAGCTGAGGGATGGAAGGAACACTAGTGTGATCCATTAAGCACCAATGCAACATAGCTCCAATGAACCCAGATACCTCTGCATTACAATGCGATGACTGGACCATGCAACACAACAGTCTGATCCTTGAAGGACTATTTCTAGCTTTTCTAGAAGTGGCAAGTGAGTCACAAGAACAGCTGACCTACTCTCATGGAAGTTTTGATAGGACCACAAGCTTGGTCTCCAAAATACTATTTCTCCCTGTCACCTACTCCTTCACTTATATACACAGACACGAGTCCCTCCTTCTGTTTTACTTCTGTGAAAGCGTACATAAAATGGAAATACTCAGTTCCTAGGAATTTTATTTTCAGAAGCCACCTGTGTAATGAATACAATCCTTGAAGGTAAAGGCCAAAATGACCTAATGAAATCTAATCTTTCAGGGAGTTTAAACCTGTAAACATCCAGATTTGGCTCACTAATCCCCATATGATGCTTTAGCTACACATATTCTCAGCTACAGATGTATGAATAAGTGACATGCTTTGCAACATTTAAAAGTGCTCTTCAAGAACTGACCTAGATTGCCCATGAACTATTCCATATGACCTACCGTATTTCAAGAAAATGAGATCTTCCCAACAATGATTAATCAAACCTTATGTTAGATAACGTTCTTGAAAAATACACATGCTGCATTGTTTATAATGCATTTTCTTAATCTGACAATTTGACTTTCCTCCTGAAGGCCCAGCAGCATAGCAGCACTACTTAGGTATGCAGGGCTAGGGAGAACTTTATTTCAAGTCCAACCCCCCATCTCCACCACACCTTACAAATCTCACAGATTTGGGTCTACAAGTCTGACCCTGTGTGTCTTGAGTGGTTGGCTTAATTCTCAGCACTACATGAACTAAGTTGCCCCTCAGTTATGAAAGGAGTATCTTGGTGCATCTTTCCTATATGAGTCTTGAACAAATATGACAAGACAAACAGTAATTATAAAGGAATGGCAAAGAGAAGCAAGGCAAATAGAACGAGGGATCTGTCTGCATTAAATGGTTGCATAATTAATTCCCTTATTGTAACCAGAAAGCTTACTACAGTTTAGAACTAGAAAAAAATTATTGGAAGTGCAAAAATTTTTTTTTCTGAATAAACTGGTAAGTGCTGAAAAGGCAAGAATATAAATATAACAAATGACATGCAACTCCTCTTAGTATACTAATCACTGACAAGTTGACTGTAATGGTGATGTCTTCTGTGAGTTCACATGCACACATAATAAATTGACACTATCAGTTTATAGCAATCCAAACTTGCTATACATTCTTATGCTGGCAGTACAAAATTGCTTAGCAAAACAAAATAGAAACCAAAACCACAGGCAAAGATTGAAAACAGCAGCATGTACTCACATTCACTGCTCACTAGTCGCTCCAGCATTCTTCTCTGTTTCTGTACTGACTTTGGGACCGGGCCAGGTTGCTTCTCACCACCTGGTTCAATAACAGAAGTTTATGGAAAGTCAAAGCAGTCAAAGTGATCAAACAATAACTGGAATGTTCTTTAAGCTGCAATATCTGGAGAATGGTATTTCTTCAAAGTCAGGAAAAGACAAATAGACATATAAACAGGGAAGAAGTGGCTATATAGCTTTCTATATTCCTATTACTGTTAGAAAACGGAATAGCATTGACATAGCTAACACATAGTGCCATAATGGCGGAGTGAGCCATAAAAGATTTACTTTCCAAGGACAGTGAGTGTCGAATGAAGACATTTTTAATACTTGGTCACTTGTACGAGTGCTTAACTGAATCACAACTGACAGCAAGAGTTGGTGGGCCTTTATGAACTAACTTTATTGGTCCAGAGAACACAGTTATTAAAAGAGAGTTAGAGTCGTTAACACTGCTACTTTTTCTTAAGTAGATCATACATTTACTTTTATCTCATGCCTGATTGTTTATGAAGACCTTTTCTGCCTGTAAGGACATATTTTATCAATACCATAAATCACTTCATAAACAAACCTTCATTGTCAACTTGCCCAACATTTTCCAGTAGTTCAGAAACTGCTAATTGCTTCTTCTTTTTTGGGTTTAATTTCCAATACATGACTAAGGCAGCTTTCCTCACAGCCCTCTCCAAATCAGTCTCAGATGATAATTTTTTCACTTCTTGCTCGTTCTCAGAAGTGATGCCTCAAGAAAAGAAAAATACATTAGATACTATTATTCCACACCCATGCACAAAATGGTAGATCTGCCCACAACTTATTTTTCCTCAGTTTAGTCTGAAATTTCTCAAGTTTCGTTCATACCTTGACCACCTAAGTAAATTACTCAAATGCCCTTCTGTGCCCATTGCTTATCAAAATCTAATCACATTGCTTAAGTTTAAACTATATGTCAAAGGCTGTGCAAGACATGCATCATCCTTATGTCTTGCTTCAACTTTTGAAGTACAGCAGTTCAGGCAAAAGGTGGTGCAGATATGCATGTGACATGTAAAAGGCAGCAAGAATTTAGTGAAAGGGGGTTTTTCTTGTTTTGTTTTGTTTTTTTCTTAAGAGTTCAGATAGTTGGCAGACGAGAGGAGACCATTCCAAGCGTGGGAAGTAGCATGAAGGAAGATGTGAATCTTGAAGCAGGAGAAGACAGTGAAAAAGACCAATTACGAGAGAGGTTGTAGAGGGGCAAAAGAATGAAACAACAGCAGATATGTAGGTGGTGTGTGGCTATATATGACCTTCACAGTCAAAGAAAAGAAGCTTCAATGAAAGGTGGGGAGGGGAAGAATGAGCATGAGTTCTATGAAGGAATTCAAGCAAATAACTAATATAAATGCTTTTATGAGCAGCATCGGTAATTAATGCTTTTTAAATTACGGATTTGAACATGCTGTCAGCAACTACTCACATAATTTTGCCATGAACATTCCCATTGTATTTTAACCCCTCTCTTCAGTGTTAAAATGGATATAGTATTATTTCAGATAAAGTAGGAAGAGCAAGCAAAAAGTCACAGAGGACCCATACCTCTTCTTTCTGCCAGGCATCTACGCAACAGTTTGACAGCTTCTCTTCGGCCTTGCTTAGCAGCAAGGATGAACCAGTCAACTGCACTACAATTGTTGAGTTCTTCATCCTCCTCTTCTGCTAATCTTAAGAAGTGTTTCCCCACCTAGAATAAATGGGGAACAGAATTCCTTCAGTTATTGAAATAGACTCTACTCTCTCTCTCTGTCTCTTTCCTCCCACCCCCTCAAACTCAGCTAGCATAAATTCTCTCTGAACAAAAGGTCAAAACATTTGCTCCTAGCACTAAAGAACGTAGCTGTAGAGTCAGTCTTCTGCAGAGAAAGATCAGTTTCCAGAACTGGAAGCAAGAAGGAATTGCACCACATTTGGCCAGGTCAATGAATTCATTGTCATTGGTCTTCGAGCATCTAGCAGGATCAGGTAAAGCTCCTGGTGTTAAAAGTTTTCTTGAATTCTAAAAGTTTGCTTGAATTCTCTTCCTCCTGTAACACTGCTAGCATCATTTTAGAAACACAAAAAATAAGTGTAATAACCTGGTGCCCGTGACATTCAGAAATTCAAATGAAGTTAAGTTATTGACAAAGAGCCTTGACATGGAAGGAAGCTTCAGCAGTGAAATCCCTGACTCATGGCAGTTCAGCCACTGAAGGTCAAAGCAAACTCATGATTAATTATTGAACGGAATTAAACTAATACTGCTTAAGCATCAGTTTCAGTGATATAGCCTGTAAAAATCCTCCTATTTAGGATTACAGAAATTATGGAGCATTTTGCCTGTATTATTGTTTTACAGATAAAAAAAAAATCACCTTTTTTCTTCCTTCTATAAAATTGAAATATATGGTAATATACTAGTAAATATATTTATGCAATAGCATGAAACACTTCTGCTTATCATACCACAAGGCAACAAAATGTTAAATTGCAGAAAGTGGCCAAAACTACCGGACATTTTATCCGCATGCCTGGAGAAGCTGGGAAATGTTTTTGCTTGGTTCACTGCACTCCCTCTCTCCCCACTGGTACTTCAGTTACGTTCTAGGAGTAATTAATGCAATACCTTAAGAGTATAGCTCCTTAAGCCCAGAGTATTATGTCCTGAAAAAAATCTGTTTGACAGTTTCTCTGAATCTTTGCCTTTGGTATTACCACTAAAGGTGACTGAAGAAATACCTTTGAAAAGACACATTATTCCCATGTAGATTAAACACACTGATATAATCAAAAAGATCTTTTTCTTCCAATAAAGGTTAGGTCTCCAGTCTCGCAACTGGTTTCACACACCTAAGTGGGTGCTCCAACAACTCCTACATAGAGATTTATTGGGTAGACATCATAGTGATTAAACCCATAGTACACACACAGTGAAGCTATCCAAAACCATACAGAAATAAGAACAAAAAAATTGGACTAATTAATCCAAAAGTCAGAACTAAACGATGATTACAATGTCATGCCAGAGTTCAACAAGCAGTGCACAGATGTAGTGCCAGACCAAGAAAAGAGTATATTGAGACAGAGAAAAAAAAAAAATTTAAAGTTTCAGCAATTACCTGGTAATTTATAACCCAACTACAGATGTACCTTCAGCTATTTATTTCAGAAAGGAATTGCTTGAACAAGTTACATGGTAAATAACATCCTCTGACAAGAACAGCTGTTACTTGAGCATGTTCATAGCCATTGAGATTTTGAGTAAAGCTTCAAGAGTAGCAGATACAGCTCTTAAGTTTATAAGGATCTCTTGGATGTAGAAATCTGTATTGCAACATGAACTAGCAGATTTTGGAATTAGTCATATTGCACAAGGCTGCTGCAAAAGCAAAATGGTAGCATTTTGGTTTATGACAGAAGTGGGGTTTTTTTTTGCCTGTGGGGTTTTTTTTTGTATTGTTTGTGGTTTGTTTGTTTGGTTTGTTGTTTGGGTTCTTTTTGGGGGGTGTTTTGGTTTTTTTTTTTTTTTTGGGGGGGGGTAGGGAGTTGGGGGGGGGTTTTTTTTTTTTTTAAGTTCAGCATTAAGATTTAACCATCTACCCCCTCCAAAAAATCCACAGAACCCACCCCCAAAATCTGAGCAACCAGAAAATATTTTCCCTTTATTTTGATTATAAAATTACAAGCTTTTTTGCGTACGTTAAGAGTTTTGGTAGCAAAAAACCCCCACCTCCAAGTCCCATAACAAACCCAAAGCTTTCCATGCAATACTACTGGAAGGTGTACCAGCTCCCTCCAAACAAGCCCTGTGCAACCTCTGGCCCACAGCAATCAAAGGAGGAAGAACTGATGGGGAAGGTGTTAACCTCAGATTTGTCATTTAAGCCATCAGGGATTCTCCTTCCCATGAGCTAAAACTGTGAAATGAAGTCTAAGGTGGTAATGGCTTAACACAGATCTTCATAGTGTACTTCTCTAAAGGTTGCTCTCACCTGTGGGCTTTGCTAACCGAGGCGGTTAAATCAAGCAGTCCCCTTGCAGAGATCCTCTGCTTAAAGACAGAGAGCTGCCTTTTCTCCATTACCGAATTCCAGCTGTGGGTGTCTCATTTACATAACTGCTGTACAGTTATTTCTCAATAAAGAAACTACCTAAAGCTATGGTAATACAGGTTGACAGCCACTCAGAGTACATTTATTTCCATAGTCATTGCAGGGTTATTTTTGAATAAACTCATAGTAATAACCACAAGCCAGTGAACCGAGTGATTTCTTGTGTTTGACTTTGTAATTATTAGCACACAGCACAACAGTGCCATCTCAGCTTCTCACTTGTACTCCTGCAAAGGTAAGAAATAAAAATAGATTTTTCTAACCGATTCTAAAGGGACCTATTCAACAGAAGAGGTTTGGTTTTTTTTTAGGGTTTTAAAAACTAAAAGTTAATTTCATCTCCACAAGTCACAAGAAATTTGATTGCATAGAAAATAAATGACTGTATTTGGGGTTCTTTCTCAGGCAGTCAATTCATCCTGAGTGCACAATGAAGCAAAATTGTATGCTGGATCTCTTTACAACAAGAATCCTATTATTGTGTGGGAATAGAAAGCGTACACAGTTACAGAGCTAAAGGAAGGGAGTGAAGGTGGAATGAATTGAGAAGGATAAAAAAATTATTATTTATATACATACACATGCACACATCATGGGCTTAGATTACGTAACGTATTTCTTACTCAACTGGAAGTTATGTCCTGAAAGAATATTCATGGGGTTTGCTTTCTTTTGCGTGGAGGAACAAAGCCAAAAGGTGGATTTTACAGCAGTGATTTCATCACGGCTAAAGCTTCATCCTCCACAAAGCCACCGGCTGTTTCAAAGGTGAGGAATTTGTTACTGTCTTGGGTTACAACTCCAAGGACAGCCTGCCCCTCAAACAAGTTGAGATGGAGTGGGGAGTGAGCCTGGCATTGCTTTTTTTTTTTTTTTTTTTTTTTAAATATGACCTTTAAAAGGATTTCTTTCCCATCCCCACCTTTTATTTTTGTTTGCAAAAAGAATGGTGATCCTTTGGGAAAAACCCAAAACACCAAAGAGCATGTAGGAGACCATAATCACTCCCTTTTGCCATCAAAGCTGAAGCTGGAAAAGAATGCTCAAGTAAAACACTAACCAAGTTAAACACAAATTAAAACCCTTCTAAACAATTTTAAGCTATTTATACTAGACCAATACACCAGACAATGGAACGCAGCAGAAAACAGGTACAATTTTTCTAAAACCTATAAGGGACACCTAAAGTGCTAACACATACAGGGACAGAACTGCCACTATAAATTCAATTATATCTGTCATTACACAACTAAACATAGCTAACTTCAATAAACAAAGAGGGGCTTCTTTTCTAAAATGTGTTAATTCAACAGAGAAATGGTGTAAGAGCAAAACATCAATCAACCTCTGGTCCTGCTAAAGTGCCTCAATGGCTGTTTCTTCCACAGAGTCCAGCCTAAGAGTCCTGGCATCTTTGCATAGTGCAGTGCTGAACCAACAGCATTTAGTAGTCCCTATCTGCACACCTCCACAAGTAACTCTTTGGCACAGGCTTTTAAAAAAAGCAAAAGCAGTTCTGTACCTTCTCCATGCTCTCAGCCTACCCTCCCTGTTTTCATACGTGTCCTAAAGGCTTGCTCAAGAGTTGGACCCGAAACCAGCAACACTCCCAAGCGAGCAGCATTTCTCAAGGCGGAGAAACCATCTGGCATCACCTTTCCTTGGAACAGTTTAAGATCAAAACAGATACAGTTCAACTAAAGAAGAGATAGTAGATCTACAGCAGGCAGTGCTATTTTTGGAATTAAGAGCAAACAAGACTGGACAAAGAGCATATAAAATTACCTCTGTTTGTGCTTTTGGTTCTCCAGCTTTGGCCCTCTCAAGCAGTTCCTCAAAGAGCACTTCAGGTTCTTCCTTCATGCCCTCTACAAATTAATTTGACCAAGAAAATTGTTTACTAGCAATATTTGAAAGTATTTTATAAATCATTGCTATATGTGGTTGAAGAATTAAAGGATTATATCTAAAAAATCCAACATGAGTTGTTTTGCAAGAACAGTGGAAATTAACTCATTACAATATTTACATGCCATCTCAGCATTGTACTACAGCATATTTACCATTACTTGTTATTTGGTACCTGCCACAGGATGACACATACAGTTTACAGTTTCTCATTTACTTCCAAAGGATTCATTTCTCAATAGAATATTCATTACAATAAATATGAGCACATGTGGAACATGCAGTATGGATCAGCTTTTGTACTATTACTGTTCTTATTCTTGATAGCATTTCAGTCTTTCACCTGGCAGCCTCTTTATTTAGTAGTGAAGCCTTTTCAAGGGTTTTGAAAAATTAACCAGCCATTAAAACATTTCCAGTATATTTGAAAGTTCAGCTCCTCAGTCTCTGGAGCACACAGAAACTAACAATGATTACACCTCAGAAACCTCACCATTTTGTGTCCAGCTGCACACTGACACCTAATTTTTTATCCTTTCCTATCTACTGTACACATACAGACTTAAACAACTTTTTTTCTTCAAAAGCATCATATTGCTCCAACAGTCAATCCTAAAGAAAAAAAAAAAAAAACTTGAGAGCTTTGACATCCAGTGTTTGTAAATAATGTTACACTGTGTGCCACTTGATGAATGAAGAAAAAGCTTAATGGAAAAGCTGACAAAGGCCAGAACTGCTACTTTTTATGAGAAGATTTCTTATAAATTAGTTTGGAAGAATTTTAAAGAGAAAAATCAATACAACTGGTATGCTTTAAGTTGGGTAAGTGTAAGAAAGGACAACAGACCACTGATTCACCAGCCAGCCTAAACCCATGGTTAGAAAGGAAGATCCAAACTCAATAGCAAGTGCCAAAGCTTGACCTGTACGTACTACATCACCCTGCAAGGTCACTGAACGCACGGTGACACTTGGTAGCTACGTACTGAGGGCACAGACGGCATGAGAAAGCACAGTCAGGAAGCAAAGTTTCCAAATGTAGGAAATGGACTGAGAGAAGCTTTCTGGCATCTGCTCAAAGTTGCAGATCTCAGCCTCTACCTAATTTGGGCAGCAATAATGTGAGAAGCTGGTAAGCAGCCCTGCTAGCTGAGGTGCCATTTAGTATCAGCTCTTTTTCCAAAAGCAGGAGAAGACAGACATAAACCCGATTCCAAATAATCTCCCAAAGAACAGGGCTACTTACATTCTTTAACATGCCTGGTTACTGGGACTATCTCCAAACAAGAACAGGCTACAAGGCAACGCTTTCATTAAAATGGATGTATTTTAACAAGAGCAAACCATGAAGTAAGTTTTCTCCCTCAACATGCCACAGTTTTGCCTGCCAAGCTCCACTTGGAAAAATACTAATGCCAGATTATAACATGTTGTCTGGCTAAACAAGGCATGTAATGAAAAATAATTTTCATTTAGTACTCAGTCTTTTAAGAAAGCTGTAAAAATATTATTGTAAAAAAGGCAAACACCATCCCAGCAAAATTGACTGCTTAATCTCCTTGCTCTGATGTATAACCAACAGGATTGAATTCTAAACAAGTCAGAAGCCTGTTTTCCAGATGGCACCACTCACACCAACAGACATCACTCAGGGGCTTTCTGCTTACAATAAACAAGAAGTTAAAGGAAAGAGCATATTGTTTGAAAGAAACATAATATTCATCCGTCTACCCCACCCAAATGAAAAAACTTGGGCAAAGCAGTACTTTTCTGTTTCTTCCTGTGCTTTCGCATTCATTAACTCATCTTGCATCAAAATTTCAGCAGCAGCAGTCTTGGCTATGGATTTTTTTTTTTCTGTTCAGGGTTTTCTACATGTTCAGATGAGACCACCACAAATATTTCAGTATACTCTGGATAAACCAATATAGGAGGCACCATTCAGAAGTTAGTGTTTGATAATTAAGTGGAATTTACACCCACACACACACACAAAAGCAAACTATAGAAAGCAGTCTGCTGAACTGATATAAACCCTAATAAGAAGGGCGGTTCTCTGGCAGCTTATACAGGCAAAGCGGCTTCCTTTCTCTCCTGCTCCACTTGCCACACAACGGAGCATGGCATGGCTCTGACCCCCTCCATCTCTTGCTCAGATGAATGTTTGTTAGATAAGAACACTTATTACAATAGAAAGCTGTAAAGCATTCCCATTTTGCTTCTTCAACACCAGGATACAATTACTTTATTGTAATCACATTGCAGATTAACATTCAAATAAAGTTCTTCGTGAAGATGGTAAAAAAAAGAAAAAAGCAAAATTATAAATGTGCAGCCTTATGCTCCAACTACCACCTTCACTGAGAAAAGAAAATAAAATGTGCTGGTACTGCAGCAAACTTGTTGAAATGTTTGTTCTAACAGAGCTGACTGCCGGGGAACAAAACGCTTTCTGCTGTTATTTTCAACCTACTGCCCAATCCCTCCCGCCCAGTTATCACTTCTACGTACTCTCGCATGTGACCTATAAATAAAAGACAGTTCATTAAAATTATGTCTGTGGGTTGGTTCTGTAGTTGTAGGACAAGGGCGGAAGAACAGGTTGTAAAGTGTTTTGGAGATCAAATTTAGAATAGCTTAGTATCTTAGTGTTCCCATAACTAGCAATATTTTTTTCCTTTGCTTAAAGGATAAGCAAGTGGATAAGTAAAAAGATAAACCACAATCATGTTTCATGGCTACCATATCAGTTTGCTTTCTCATAAAGTATTTAAATCAGTCTCTGAAGGTAAAAGGTCCAAAACACAGTCAAAGTGTGTTTTGGAACAGAGATGGACAACACACACTTACTTTCAATTCAGCTCACTACTAGAACAAATACTATATAAGAGTAAATGCACCCACTATAAAAATACCATAAAAAGTGATGCTCTATAACTTATCACCCTTGTTCTTAAGCATGTTTTTAGTCAGAAAAAGTCTTGATGTGTATTCCTCCCACATAAGAGTACTGCAATGGAAATGCTGTCAGTAGAAGCTTTTATTTTCCAGGTTTGCTAAAAACTCATGTCTTTTTAATGTCAAATTTTACTCTGTCTTGAATATAAAAATTTCCAGAAGAGAGGAACATTCATCTTACAATACTTCATGTGTCTTTTATGACAATTAAAATAGACTGCACTAGCTGTTGTGTGTCAGATGCGTTTATATAAGCCAATGAAGTCTATCAGTTATTCAAGGTTCACAAGCACCACAGTCATTCAAATGAAAGCAGGCAAGTGAAAGCACACAAGTTTCAGGTGGCACATAGCATCCATATAGAAACAAATTAAGACAGGACAGGGATGTGAAAGTGTGGTTAGTACTCAATATTTGGCTGTAGTTCCTGCTCTGCCACCAAGACACTGTTCATCGCCAGGCTGCTCTGTGATTCAGTTCCCAATTTAGTTAATTCTGCCTTCACAGAGACAGGTCACTCAACACCAATTATTCAGTGGATATTGGAACAATGACACTACTAATAATATCTTAATGTTTTGTATTTATTATTCTGTGTGCTTAAGTCTTAAGCCTAAGGTATGAAATGATATGGTATGCTTTATTTTCTCAGTTCCACTCAAAAAAAAAAAAAAAGTGGGGGGAAAAAAATTATTTGTCATCTCCAAAGGATGAAGCAGATATATAGTTCTGAATCTGCTGCGTTTATGTCCTCATACTACAGAAAGCATTTAAACCTCTGAAGTGCTACAAAAATGTCCACTTTTGAAATTTAGGCTTTTCATTTAACAGGTTAAAGCTCTCACTTAAAATGTATTTTATTAAAGCACTTATTAAAAAAGACTCAGTACAACTAAATTGATAAAGACCTGCATGTGTTTCAGAGTCATATACAGCATTTAAAAGAGTAAGCTCAAACTGCATATTAGCAGCTGATAGAGTTCAAAAGCTGCTATCAAAAACATTGCTAAAGTAATTTCTGTTTATTAGTAAAAAGTATGTTTTACAACTTCAGGAAAAATACTCAGAATATAGAAGTCTAAACATAGCTGTTTATATATGTAGGCTGTAAACAGGCTGACGAAAACTAAAGACTATTTACTTTCTGAAACTTTACACATTACTTGGCACATTGACTACATAAAGTAAGATTCCAGCTTTGCTGCTATAGGCTTAAATGGAAATTTAGCATTCATTTCAGCATACACACGCATTTTTACTGTTTCTTTTAGGTTTTGACCAGAAATAGGAAATGTTGCAAAAGGAAACATTTCAGCTTTTTAAAGAATACTATGCAATACTATGTTAGAGTGCAATTAGTGTCCCTTACCTCTGAAATTTATCAATTAAATTGACAAAAAGGCAGTTAATCCATAGTAGAGGGTAAGTCCAAATGAGACTGAAAGATACTAGTGTCTACAATTTTTAAGTCACAAAAGGAAGATGCCGTCATTGATTAAGTAACACGCGTAAGACTCATCTTTGGACTACATCAAGGATTAAAACCCAACAAATTCTTCAACATTCATACAAGGTTTTGAAGAATGGACTTACACAATCCAGATAAAAAAAATCTTTTCAATGCAGAAGGACTTGGGGAAGAATGGCTGGAAAGCTGCCTGGCATAAAAGGACCTGGGGGTGTTGGTTGGCAGCCGGCTGAACATGAGCCAGCAGTGTGCCCAGGTGGCCAAGAAGGCCAACAGCATCCTGGCTTGTATTAGGAATGGTGTGGCCAGCAGGAGCAGGGAGGTGATTGTCCCCCTGTACTCGGCACTGGTGAGGCCACACCCGGAATACTGTGTCCAGTTTTGGGCCCCTCAATACAAGAAGGACATTGAGGTGCTGGAGCATGTCCAGAGAAGGGCAACGAAGCTGGTGAAGGGTCTGGAGCACAGGCCTTATGAGGAGCGGCTGAGGGAACTGGGGTTGTTTAGCCTGGAGAAGAGAAGGCTGAGGGGAGA